CGCTTTCGATGACCAGATAAACAAACGACTTGGCAAGTGACGACTCTATTTCTCCTTCTGAACTTGGTCAAACAATTCGATGGCATCCCGGACTACAACATCCTTGCCAAAATTGCAAAAGCGGATATAGATGAACCACCCGGCGGACGGTTTACAGCATGTCCAAAAGACTGAGTGCTCTGTACTAAAGTGAACAGAGTCGGATTGACCTGCAGAAGTGCAAGAACAGGAGTTTCTCAGTTGGGGACCCTTGGGCCACTTCTGTTCTTCTGTTCATCAATGACCTCCCCTACCAAATCTTCTGGTCTTTCCTCCTGCTTGCCGATGACAGCAAAGTGTGGAAGACGATGAGTAAAGAAGAGGATCCCAGGATACGACAAGCCGACCTACTGCAGCTTGGGTCCTAGTCAGCCCAGAATGTCTCGAGCTTTACCTGCAGCAATGCAAAGTGGTGTATCTTACGAAGCCAGAAGCGGTGAAAATCAGTGACACTCAACAAGTGAGCAACCACCAGGGTATTCACAGAGAAGAGCCTAGGATTAAACTTCTCTGACACACCCGGTACTATAAAGGAATAGTGGCAAGGGCGGACCACGTCATGGAGTTCATAAGAAGGCAGCTTGGAACGCTGACGCCATAAATTATTCCTTGTGATATTCAAAGCCTGTGTCAGGCCACCCGTGGAGGTGTTCAACATGATGGTCCCCTTGTCCACAACAGAGAGCCGCAAGTACCCTAGGAGGTGCAGAGTAGAGCAACAGGGTCAGTAGTCGGACTAACAAGCAAAACAGATGCGCAACGCCTTACAAAACTGAAGTTACTCGCCCCGAGCTGTCGGAGGAAAAGAGGTGAGTCACTAATAGCCCACAAGATCATCCACCAAGTGAACCATCAAAATGGAGCAACATGGTAGACCCGAAACCAGCAGTCACTGAGGAACTCCGTTCGCATGCTCCTCCATAGGGAAAAGATGCGCCTAATGAAAAGCTGTGCTGAGGGAAGCAGTCGCAGCGACATCAGTTGACTCCCTCAATCAACTACTCGATGTGCACACGAGGGCAAATGGTCCACCGCAAGCGTCCGTCGGTAGCAACTGAAGGTGTGCCCGTCCACTCCTGTGATCCCTATCCCTCGAGCTTGCAGTAAGACGCATCTGTCCTCCACGTTATTACCGGTAACGCTAATTTTCCTTCAAGTGACTTTCACTTTTCTTTTGTCATTTCCCACTTGCCCTATCTCTTACACGCCTTTTTCAACAACCCATGACACTAAAATGAAGGTGCTTACAAAAATAGCAACTGCAAAAGGCTAATTAATCCTGCCAGCAGCTCGGTCCCCAGCAAAAAGAATCAAGCTACAACTTGCAAGTGAAAATACCCTCAAACGGACAATCAGTACCTCCGAAACTATAGGCAGCTGAGTTGTAAGAAATCCTGCAACCACCGAAGCAACATAACCGAACAAAAAGAATCCAGCCTCCAAGATTTATAAGCAAGGGCTCAAAAACTGCAGGTTTCCTCTACGCACACCACTCACGTTGATTGTCACACATTTTTTTCACGGATTTTGAATGACTCAAGCATTAACCTACATTTATTTGTCTGTGAAAAACCATAGTGCCACTGGAAAAGGATACAAGGTACGAGGCATTTTGCAGGTTTCACACGTGCATACCTCATTTTAGAAGATTAGACAGGAGAGTCCGCTGCTACCCTGACCCCAGAACTCCTTTTGAAGCTGTACAAGACCTACATATGGCCTCACTTAGAGGTCCACCGCGTCACTGCACCACCATATTTGGGCAGATGGGAATCTCCTGGAGAAAGTCCGGAGGAGAGCTACAAGGAGTGTCGTGGGAGTGAGGCACAAAGCCCTATGAGGGCAGGCTGAAAGATCTAGGGCTCTACTCCTCAAACTACCGTAGATTACGTGGTGACTTCACAACGGCTTACAAAATACTTAGTAACCCAAGTCACCCGAACGGTGGAATCCCACCGAACGGCCGCTGAGGCGATCCTCATGGCAACTCAAGGAGAATCACCCACCAAAGGGAGAGAACCTGTTTGCGATCACACTTCTTCTCTCTGCGAGTTTGTGGTCACTGGGACGCACTACCTGCAGAGATTGTTACTGCTCCGTCTGTCAATGGCTTCAAGAGGAGGTTGTACGGTTACGCAGCGACTCACGGTTTGGGCTCGTCTAGTTGGGATATGGACCACGCTGACGCGGGCAACCATTGCTGGACACTTTGTAAAATCGCTATCACTGGGACCTTGGCTCAACGATATACTTTCCTGTGGCGTCCCCTACAGTCACCGCTTACAACTAAGGGAATTACTACATTCCCATTCGTCCTATGATGCTGTTCATTATTCTTCCTTCTGACTTTACGTTTGCGGCTTTTAACAAAAGCTCTCCCTATCACCTATTTCCCATAAAGCTACCAATGTTTCTCCTTCCGCGCCGTTTCCTTTTTCCTAATCTTATTTTCCTTCTTTTTTCCTTTTCTTTTCCATTTTGTCTTTCTCTGCACATATTTTCCATCTCCTTTTTACAACCAGTCCGACCAATTTTCTGCTGGCACGACACTTGAGGAGCCCATCTGCACCACAGTCCTCGGAAGAAAAAAATACAAACAAACAACGCTCCCTGCAAATTTAACTAACACCCAGCCGGCCGCCAGGCTAATCAGAGCTACCGCAACCAAGAGGGTAGACCTACTGCACTGGAATCCACCAAGGACCTGGAACTGTTCCTCAAGACCTAGGAGCGAGCACGAAGAAATCAGTTGGTCTACACTGGCTCGTAAAAAGATATTGGATTATGGATTACTTCACCTTTCTTTTCCCCTTTTACTCAGACAAACTACTCTGTAGGTTCTCTTCACTTTCCCTAACCCTCTCTAGCCACTAGTCCGAACAACTGTATGACAACTCGACATATGAAGAAACCAACCACAACACAGCTCAAGGCAAACAAACCGACACTTAACTTCGTGGTATAATCATTTTAATATGATACTGTCGTTTATTGAACCGAATTGATCGGTCTCTATTGGCATATGATCATGTCAGCTGGTATAAGTGAACTCCTACCCTCTTGGTTCTAGGAGTACTTGGAAGGGAGGCAGTTCTGCACTAAAGTAAACAGAATAAGGTCGGAGTGGAGGCCGTCGACGTCAGCAGAATCCCAAGAAGCAATCGTAGGACCGCTTCTGTTCCTCTTGTTTGTCAACCATCTGCCAGATAAAATATCCTCACCCATCTTCCTCTTTGCTGACGACATAAAAATTTAAAGGGTGGCAAACGAAGAAGCCGATTGTAATGCACTATAAAGGGACTTGCAGCAACTCGACCTCTGGTCGTCAGAAAATGGCCTGAGCTTCAACCTGGGAAAGTGCAAAGTAATGCACATCAGTAAAAATGAAGCAAGTACGACCGACTTGAGCAACCGTGCAATCACCAGTGTCCATGGAGAAAGACTTGGGGCTCAACTTCTCCGACACTTTGGACACCAGCTCCAACTACAAAGGTATGACAGCCAGAGCGAACGCAATTCTACACTTTCTGCGCAGACAGCTTGGCTCCCTCACTCCCGAACTCTTCCTCACCATTTCCAAATCCTACGTGCGGCCTCATCTAGAGGTCTTGAATACGGTGGCTCCTCCAACACTAGAGAGAGACTCCACTCTCCTTGAAAGAATACAAAGAACTGCGACAAAATCTGTTGCGAGGCTAAGGAGAAAGACGTATCCTGAAAGGCTTAAACACCTAAACCTATTTACCTTGGGTTATCGCAGGAAAAGGGGTGACCTCATTATGGCACACAAGATCGCCCATCAGACAGACCATGCAAACGAATCAATTTTGCCTGCAACTCAACGATCTTCACGAGGAAACCCCATTAAGATAGCACACCAGAGAGCCAACACCATACTCAGGTTCAAATTTTTCTCCCTAGGAGTATGTGCTTTATGGAATGCCTTACCGCGACATATCGTTATAGCTCCCTCAGTCGACTCATTCAAGAGACGATTAGACAGTCATGTCACCTCGCATGGACTACCACGGACGTACTCAGGTAGTCACCAACCTCAATAGCCCCCAACTCCCAACCACCACTCACTATCTCCCTGCTTAATACACCGGCATCACCTACTAATTCCTTTGTAGGAACCAAACCCACGCGACCATTCGCGCAATTCCTAAATACTTTTCTTTCGTTCTTATTTCTCTTTTTCACCCCTCCTTTTCTCTTCCCTGATTATTATTTTTCTCCTTTCTTCTCTTTTTTATTCTCTCTTCATTCTTCTGCCACTACTTTACCATTCTCTTTCAGGTACCTACACAGACAGGAGTCACGGCAGTTCCCTAAACGTCCCAGCAACCAGTAGCTCCCCAATTACTCTACAGATTACAACTTACTAACCCACAAAACATCCACCTCACTGAAGCTAAAAGCGAGAAAGTAGGGAGGATTTCCTCGCCCACTGCAGGATTGAACCGAACAACTCGAACCAAGCCCTAAGAACTGGGCGCGAGAGATCGAAAACTATCGGTTTTCTGCTCTCGCACTATCAATATTGGACATTCGATATCGGATATGGGCTCCTGTGCGGATGCCTCGATATTGCCAGCTTTCTAATCATGTTAATGATGGATCGTGGCTAGCGGCGGAGCCCAATATGCGCATTTCGTCCCATCTGGAACTCGTCAGATGCGTGTACCTGTCACGATCCATCATTAACTTAACTTCCTGTTCTGTAAGTCAGAGCTATAGCAGACGCGTGGCTGAATCTACTACATTGGAACCCATCAAAGACCTATAACTGTTCCGTAAGATCAAGAAGCGAGCAAGAAGAAATCAACTGGTTTACAAAAGCTCGTTTGAAAGATATTGGGTATTGAACTGCTTCAGTTTGGTCGGTGTGTTTAAGCCAGCCAAAGTTGTTAATTCATTAGAAGTTCCATTATGAATGTGTAGAACTTAGGGCGGTTCAGATGGATGATACGAAGATTATTTACCATATTGATGACGAAGAAACCCCTTATTTAGTTAAAATTGCTGTGTGCCCCAGTGCAGTTACCTTGGGTGACTTTAAAAATGCGCTTAACAGACCAAATTATAAGTTTTTCTTCAAGTCAGTTGATGCAGATTTTGGGTTCGTATTCTATTGAGATTTATTCAGCAATTTTTTATTTTATAGTGTTGTCAAGGAAGAGATAACTGAAGACGATGCTCGACTTCCTTGTTTCAATGGAAAAGTTATTTCATGGGTACATATGGTTTTCTGTCTGAATGTTTGTTAGCTTGTTTCTGCAGATAGCAGCACAAAGTCTGACAACCACTCTAATGGAACGGGTGAAAACCATTTTCCCAGTCAAAACAAGAATTCCACTAGGTAAATCAGTGGTCACGTTTTTTCTTGTCTGTTGTAAATTGCAACATGTTTGTAAACTGCTTGGCCAAAAATGGATTAATCGGTTGATAATTCATAAGAAGCTTTCGCTTAACTCAATTCCGTGTCCAGAGGCAGTGGACCGCAAATCCCTTTGTTAGTCTGTATGCAAGTAAAGAAAAAAAGACGACTGTTGAAATTTGGAAATCTAGTTTCGAGTGAGCTCCGACCCACGTATCGAGCCCTCATTTAAAGGATTCAGATAAAGTCGTCTGGATCACGTTTGTAACAAGACCACTACAGAGTTGAAAAACTTAGGGAAGAGAGTTTGTGTGGTACCTAACCACCTATGTTCTAGGCTTAGTTTCTGTTTATGTCCTCTAGGATTGGTGTTACAGCTAAGATTCAATAAGTGACGGAGTGTTTGTCCTGGGATGTTCAAGATGTTGTGAGCCGCTATCAAGTCCTCTGTCTTCTATATTCCAGAGGGTGTAGATGAAGTGTAACCAGTCATGTTTCAAACCTGAGTCTTTCAACAAATTTGGTCGAGCCCCTTTGGGTGCATTCTGAGCTTAGTTTGTCCTTCTGAAGTGAGGGGAGGAGGAGGAAAGTAATAGTCTTGAACTCCAGATAAGGCCTCATGAATTGTCAGAAAATTCATCCTAGGGGTTGCCAACGCAAGGTTTCCATGAACTGCGTTTCTGTCACAGTTGGCATGGGGCTTTAGGTCTTGAAGGACCGGAGCGCCCAAATCCTTCTCCATCTGCAACACTTCAAGTTCCATGCCGTCAAGACTATATGCATGACACGCGTCATATTTCGGATGTACAGCCTTGCTTTTTTCAGTGTCAAATGGAAGCCCATTTTCGATAACCCGGCTCTGAAGTTGGGTTGTCTTCCTGACTTCTGATTCCTCTCCATTGTTTCACGTCATGAACAAAAAGAAGAATTTCAGAGGTCTGTTAAGACGAGTTGATTACGTATATTAAAAAAGCAGAGGCCCTAGTATCGAACTGTGGGGGACTTCACTTAGACATTCTGTTCCTCCAAAAAAAGGGAAACTTACTCGTATTCTAAATAAACGATCACGTAGATATGAGGACAACCGATCAATGAGCGTTGGTCTGATCGCGATTAGCTTTCGTTTGTCAATAGGGCAGTTGTAACAGGATCAAAGGCTTCGGGAAAGCCTAGGTAAATAATATCAACTCTGCTTCGAGGGTTGAACAAGTTAGTAATGCGAGAGCAGTATTTTCTAAATCCTTGTTATTGGGTGATTCCTCAGTCTACCATATATTAGCCACCCTTTTACTTTGGAGCGTCCTTGGTTTATATGTCTTCAGGTTGATTCGTTGACTTTTGAAAATTGGAATTGTGACCCAACCGCCAAAAATTGGTCACTTCCTTGACTTGGAGAATCCCTTAACAACTCGTTTAAAGTTTCGGCGAAGATTAAGGCTTCTTCCCGCAAACCGCCGCATGGATTTGGTTTGGTCTGGGAGAAGTATATTTTTTGGGAAGTAGCAGTTTGCGCTGTACTTAGCTCAACGTCTCAGTCAACAACCGAGGGTCCTACTTCATTTGTGGGACATTCGTAAACTCCTGAGTGAGTGGTTGGTGATTAAAAGACTCGCAAATACTGATCAGCTAGTTCAGCTGCTTCAGTGTTGCTACTAGTTATTCCGTTGGACCCTATTAGTTGAAACTCCCGCCTTGGCCTTTTGGAACAATGCAGCATTGTGGAACAGACTTCTCGGGTTAGAAAAAGCATGCTTGTGAGCCCAACTTGATGCCGTTGCTGATCTACTCTCAGTACCTTCGTGCGTGTTTTTGTCTGTTTTAATAGTCTGCGTATGGTCGTTATCATTCATTTTGTGTTCTGCTCAGTGGTGTCTTGTTAACCTAATTAGTTTACGAGTAGAGTTGCTTATTACCTTAGGTGACGTGAAGCACTTTATAGTTGAAAATGGAACACTGGGTGATGGCATGCACGATTTTTTCAAGTATGAATTTGCAGTGGGTATTCACATCCTGCCACCCATGTGCAGGTTCCCAATCTGTCTGTTCCAATGCGGTTCGAAGAAGTGTAATGTCCAGTCGTCTGAAGTTCTAACCATACGATGGGAGGTCGAGTTATTTTCATTCTGGGGAGATACTGGAAATCAGTAACGTAATCACTCCTGCGAAAAGGAGGAGGGAGTGCTGTGTTATCTGTCAAAACCCTTCACTTGTAAAGATGCAGTTTGTGGTTTTGGCTTCTCTCCATTGCGTCACTGGTCTCACATCTTCTGTAAGACCCAGTCCCTCAAATTACGTTGAAGAATCGGGCTTCAATGGAGTCGTGGCTCCCATTAAACTTATGATCTCCAAAGTCAACCCTAGGTAGGCTAAAGTTTTAAAGTAGAGCTTGCGCCGGAGTTTAAGGGAGCAAGTGATTACTTACAGCATTTGGCCGTCATACCTCACGTCAGCGGATGACTTCCTATAAATGGTTGCCGTCAAATACTTTGTAGTCGTGGACAGCTTTATGAGGCACTGGATGGATTCCTCAAGACAGTTCGGTTTTTGAATGTGCATTTGGTGAGCTGAAAGGGAAGAGCTGACGTAAAGTGGTACTCCGCTCTCCTCACCAGCTCTCCTATTGTTGTGAAACAGCGTGGTGTTTGCAGCAGCCAACCCCTTACCTGACTTTTTAGGAGAAACCCGTGTCTCGGTAAGACCGAAAAGATGAGCGTAAATGTTTTTACCTCATTCCCGGAGTACATCGAGTTTATTCGGTGCACTTTATGCATTGCTAAGATGCGATTTATGATGTTTACTTTGAAAGTCAAAGGTTCAGCTGTGAAACATCAATTGTAAGACAATTTATAAAATAGTAATGATAATAATAATGCCAATAATAACCATAATGGGTACTAAGGTGCTACCTCTATTGTATTCGTTCTTATTTCTAAGATTTTCCACGTTTCCTTGAAATGTAAAAATATACATGAGTAGAACCTTTGTAGTGAACATTGCTGAGATATTTAGGCAGACTCATAACTTGTCCATGACAAAAGTGTTGAAGAACTAAGTGTGAAAGTCTGTAGACTATCTGAACCCACAGACACACTGGTCAGTTCTCACAGACGGTGCTTTTTCACTCCTGCCAATGACTTCTTGACTGGAAGAGTCGTAACCTCTTTCAACCAGTGTCTTCCTCTTGGTCCTGAACCATAGTTTTGGACGATGTTGCCAAAACGACAGTTTTGGATCGTCATCGGAGCATGCTACCTTCAAGCAGTTGATAGGGTACCTTGTTGACCTGATCTATCACTGACGAAAAATTTCTTCCTGAAAACCTTGAGACATCTGTCAATAGATCCTTGCGAGGGTTTCCCTGTGGTATTATAACACAAAGATGTGCGTGTGGTTTTGAAGCTTTTAGTCCGACTGAACTCCTGTACTGTGTTAGGGTGGATAGTAGCTAAAGATGGCGCCTTTGAAGTCTAGGATTCTGAACATAGCCGTGGACACCATAGGGAGCTGTCTTGCTAAGTCTCAGAGCAGTTGGTTTGCCATGAAAACGTAGTTTGGTTCTGTAAATCAAAGCGATAAGAATTGCTTTGTGTTTTCATTCTAAGCGTGGAGCGAACACTATGAGAGACAGGTGAGACAGATAAAATCAATATCTAACCTCGCACACCAGTGGATCAATTCAAGTGACCACATTTCACAATAGTACGTAAAGAATAAGTGAATAGAAAAGTAATATCACTGTAGACAATGTGAGAAAATAAACAATATGAAGGTAAAGGTTAGTGTGATTATTGAGGGTTTAGATGTCAAAGAGTGAATAGATCTGTGCCGTTGTGACCGTTTTGCAGCTATATCACCAAGAGCCCTCAACCACTGATTCCATTCATCTCTGGAGCCCCAACCAGGCAGGCTACTTCTCCCCAAACGGCCCAGACCAATGGTCAGGGACTTCATGGACTGGTGCCAGGTCTTGGTCTGGCCACCCTAAACTTGCTTTCAACGTAATCCAACTTCCTGTTCCATGGTACATGGTGGTAGGTAATGGCTTGGTATGCGCCATACATGTCCAATCCATTCCATTCGATAGAGGTTCACAATCTCATCAGTCGAGTTACTTGTCTTGTGTAGTAACCATCTCCTGACCTCAACATTACTCACACGATGACTCCACCACACGTGAGCAATGCTACGAAGACGCCTATAACCAAATCCTGGGAAGAACTAATGGCAGAGCTTTAATCCATTTCATGTTGTCGAATCCCATTTGGAAGACCTTAAGATGACGATGGAAGCCTACTAAAGTGTTACAGGCTGGGTGATACACAGTGGTTTAAATGTGTTTGGATCACAACAGATTCTGGAAAGTAGCATTCAAATTGTCGCTTTCGGTCGGTTTTAACAGTAGAAGGGCATCCAAACTGCGAAACCCATGCTACAACGAGAAATTAACTAGCTGTATCGGCATTGTTGTCTGATTATGAGATTGGCTTGGGTCAGTGAGTGAACCTGTCGACACATCAGGAAATAAGAAAAACCGTTAGGAGGTGGAAGCGAACCAGTGATATCCAGGCAAAAATGGTCGAACTGTGAATTTGAGTTGGTAAAATTTTCAAATGGTTTAGTGTTATTCTAGTTTACTTTAGTACTCAGGCATTGTATACATGCACGAGTTAGCTTTCATACATCACGGTTAATGCCTGTTCAAACGAAACTAGCTGATATCAGCTTGTCAGTCCCACTAATATTGAGGTATAAAAGACGGTGTAGAGCGTCAGAGAGACTTGCGTAGAGGAAAGGGGACATGTCGCGGACTGTGTTGAATCTTCTAGAAAATTGAATGTTGAAGTTTTTCATATCTCCTGAACTTTGGAGTTAAGAAATCTTTTGTAATTGAATTGTTGGCGGTAAAAAGGTGGTGTAAGCGTGAAACCTGATGTTTGCTGCAAGGTTGTTCACACCAGAAACATGATGACTGTCCGATTTGA